AGTATTTTTTAACACAAGTATCTGTACTTTTACTCAAGTACGGAAAGTGAGTACTTTTGCCATCTCTGGTTATATAACCATGGATGATTCCAGATGTTAATGTAGATTTTACTTTGTTGAAAAGAAGAAAGGATAAGGAATTCATATTAAACTCATATATAGTACAGGAATATATGAACAAATTATATAGTTATGTAAAAATTTATACAGATGGTTCTAAAAATATAAAAAATCAAATAGGAGTAGCTTTCATAATAGCAGAATTCAATTTTGAGATTAATAACAGAATAAGTAATGGACTTTCAGTTTATACAGGACGAATTATTGCAATATTTTTAGCTATTCAAAGGGTTGAAGAAGTTAAACCATTAAAATCAGTTATTTGTTCAGTTTCTAGTTCATCCTTAATTAGTTTGCAGTATAATCACTCAAAAAGTTACACAGATATTTTTAAAGAAATTCAACAGACACTACATAGAATAAATATGATGGGTTTAATAATACATCTTGTATGGATACCAGCACATTATGGGGTTAAAGAAATGAGCAGGTCGATAAGGCAGCAAAAGACGCTGTTAGAGGTTTGTCAGTGGATTTAATTATTCATTTTAGTAAATCGGATGTTAAAATGTAAATTAACCATAATGAAGGACAAATGGCAAAAGGAATGAGATAAAGGAAAAAAGGACGTTGGTTTTATAAATTTCAAAAGAAAACAGGAGAAATAAGAAGAACAGGAAACACAAGAAGAGAAGAAACAATTATTTCTCGATTGAGATTTGGTCACACTGGATTAAACAGTACTCCGTTTATCTTAGACAAACACAGGGATGGTAAATGTGAATATTGTTGGGTAGATGAAACAGTTGAACACGTAATGTACTGTAATAAATATGAGGAGGAGAGAGCAATTAATTCAAAATCTTTTTTTTAAAATTTAATTTAAGTAATGTAAAGGTGAAATTAGATTTATTTGAATTATTCAGAAGTTATTCAGACAGTAACATTTACAAAATAATATTTCGATATCTAAAAATAACACATTTGTATAACAGAATTCAGCTCCTGAGAGTCATTCTGGTTCACACTCCATTCCAGTAGAAGGTGGATCTGCTGTTTGCCAACTGCCAAAAAAATTATTTAAAGAAGAAGACAATGTTTATCACCATCTACTGTGCTGGAGTGTGGACTAAATTCATAGCTAATTCATATTTCTGTAAATAAACTCTTCCCTAAGAAATATTTTTTATTTCATGTTTCATTCATGTTTTTCCTTTTTTTTTTATTTTTTATAACTGTGTCCTGTCAGGCAATGTGGCAATAAGAATAATTGTCTTGATGCCAAAAAGAGCCCAAAAGATTTTACTTTCACATTCATACTTTCATTCATGTTTTTCCAGCGAAATCTTTAGTGAAAAATTAGTCCAATTAAATATAGCTAGTTATAATAACAGGCGGTTGAGGACAGGGACTCCGATCCCTGTTATGGCTCCTTTTCTAAAATCTGATGCTACAAAAAATTTAGAAAAGTATAAGTGAATTTTTCTTAATAAAATGTTATTTTACTTTGAATTAAGCATATAGGTAAAACTATTTGCCAATAAAAAAATATAATTTAGCATTTCAAATGAGAAAAAAAAAAATTCCAATATGTCATTTTAAGTTCGTAATATGCCATTACTTAGTTTAACGGCAAAATTACTCATTCCTTTGGCAGATAATTGTATTAATCTGCTTAAATTATCAATGAATACACTTAAGTAAAGACATATTTAAGTGTTTTTAGATTTATGGTCAAATCTTATTTCTTTATCTGTCCAATAGAATTGTAAAAAACAAATGGACCCTTTTATAAAGTTTCATTTGGAAGAACAAGTCTACTATTTAAAAAGGGATAAACTCTGTAACCAGAATGCAAATTATGGGTTAAAGGTCCTCTTGACTTTTGCTCCAAATAATATTGATAATATCTATAGAAATACATTGGATATCACCAACAGTAAAAAAGAAAATAAACTTACTGAATACAATCCCAAAATATATATTCAACCAAACTGGAGAACTGGATTTTCTGTTGACTGTAAAAGTAGAAAACTATCAGATAAAATAAAATAAAAAGTCCTGCTGGTCTCAATAAACCAAAGTTTGTAAGACAAAACCAGTTAGTGTACACATTCTGTTATATAATCACCAAATACAGATGATCCAAAGTATAATTTGTTGTTACTTTTATTTATTCAGTCATTTATCAAACAGCGTCATCAGGAAAATTATCGACAGACAGAACAACAATGCCTGTATTCGTGTACGCCCTTCACATCAAACTACAACCCATTTACAATATAAGATAGGACACAATAAAAAAAACAAAAAACTTAACACTATTGTTAGGATTCCAGTTTGTGGGGCTTCTTTTTTTTTATACTTTGTATTCTTCTTCTTCTTTTTTCCTACTGTACTGTGATGCAACGCTGCAATTTCCCCACTGTGGGACAAATAAAGGATTATCTTATCTTATCTTATCTTTACGTTCTTTTGCAGTTTCACCAATGCACCCACTAGATGGTGCCATTGTCCTCTGCTGGTCTGGAGGGTATTCCTGTTCTTCTCACCTCACACCTGCAGCCTATTGGGTCATCAGTCCCTAAGGAGTATTTAAGTAGCAGACTGTCTTCACTTCCTCACCAGACTGTTTGCCAGTATTGGGTGCTCTAGCCCCTCTGAGTTTGCTGAATCAACTTTGAGTCTAAATGTCTTCAGAGCTCCTCAGTCCTAACCTTATTTTGTCTTTGATTCTCCGGCAGGATTTTCCAGATCCTTTGGATAAGCTAGCCCTTCAAGTCTGGAAGGGAAACACTCGTCACACTGAGAAAAGGAGTAAGGTCTCCTCATCTGAACGCTTGAGTCCTTCAGGAAACAAGAGTCATTCTGCTAAGTTGCTCCTCAGGATTCCCATAGTCTGCCTGTCCGCCCTCCAACAAAACCAAGCCATCTACAGACCAAGCCTCCACAAACGGGATCTCAGAAAACCTCCCCAACTACCACAGTAAGTCCAAGAAACCTAGTATTCAGACCTTTGGCAAGTTTTCCCACAGTCCTTGAACTGTGATGTCCTCCTAGAGCTTCCGCTTCTGGTTCACCAGACCGCTGGAACCGTCCCCAAGCTGGAGAACTGTTTTACCTATCTGTGTACAGTTCCTGACAATAAACTGTTAAATCTTTTTAGGTCTCTGTGAAGTGCTTCTGCATGTGGGTCAAACAAATTAGACCCATCATGACAACTACTGAAATACACAAACTGATAAGCAGAGCTACGAAATAAGGGAAAAACAAACAAAAAAAACTCATCCCAGATTCAGTTTAACATATAAACATATACAACTTGTAGCCCTCAAATATCGCCTCTTATCTATTTTCGAAGAGCAAATGAATTATATTCATAGATCTATGCCTGTGGCATTCCTCAACTCCAACAGAATTACACCTCGTACAGTACATAAGGAGAGCGGGGCACCGGCGTGCCACTTACTGGTAAGGAGGAAATAAAGTTTTATCTATCAAATCAAATTAAACTTTATTTCTAAATCACCTTAATATATTTAATTAAGGCATGCACCTCCATCTCAGAGGAAACACTAGAACACACTGATGATGAACGTAACGGAATAGTTGTTAATTTTTAAAAGAGAAGAAAGGAGAGTGAATAAATGTGCCAATGAAAGCAAAACATTAAAGGTATTGTGGAGGATCTTTTAAAAGACCTGCCCTCTCCACTTTAAAAATAATGCGTGTGCAAGAGTGTGCACGAGCCCATTCCTCCTCGTGCACGCCCTTGTTCAAAATGTGCTGCTCTCATAGCTAATATGAGCTTACTGTGTCCACATACAACGGGGACTATATAGTTGGCTTTCTAGCAAACTCAGTTAACTGACTATTCAGACAGATAATCACTTCTTTTTGCCCCGTTGGTCACATAACTCCTCCTCTACTGTGCAGTGCCTGCGCCATCTTTGTTATTAGTCGCCACTGTTGGGTAGCGACAGCCTATGGTGACAGTGGGCCGCTTTGACAGCAGATCTCATAATGCTTTGAGAGGAGAGCTCTCCGCGCAAAGCATTCTGGGATATATCTGCCCATTGTTAGGTCTTTCTTTTCTTCTCATACATTTCGTAGACACTTAGGCCCCGTCCACACGAAGTCAAACCCTGGCCTAAACGCACAAATTTTTCACCAAACCAGCCACTAATCCATACGAAGCCGGCGTTTCGGGGGTCTGTAAACGATCTTTTTTTTATT